GCGCTCGGATAGTGCCGGCCCTGCATAGACCGGCAGGGGAGACCCTGGGATCTCCCCTGCCGGCCTCGGCCCATGGCCACCGCGGCCCACCGGGCATTTGCCCGGTGTGCCCGATGGCCAGTCCGGGCCTGTGTGTGATGATTCAGAACGTGAAGACCTTCAAAGATCTTTAATATGAAGTACCTCTTGTGGCTTCCTTTCTGACATACATATTAATTACTGTATTTTTCCGTGTATAAGCTGCCCCCATTTATAAAACAACCCCTATTTTTTGAGCCCAAAATGAAGAAATAAATATTTTAAACATCAAATAGAACAACTTTGATATTTAAGAGGTGACTTCTGAAGAGAACAACACACTTTTGATTCTAATGCCTCCTTTGTGCAATGGTACTCTGTGAAGTTAAGTGCTTCATAGTGCATGCTGGGAGACTACAGCTCCCTCAAAACAGCAGGTGGTGTGAGGGCATGCTGGAACATCACAGTATTATTCCCTCTGTTCCCTGATCCACATAAATATAAATCAGACAGCAATACCTACCTGAGGTGGAGCATACCTTAATAATAGCTGCTCCTTCTATGGTGTGGCATGTCTCTGGAGCTCCGTTGGTGGTAAGTGCTGACGTCTGCTGCAGCTCCCATGCACATAGGGACCTCTTCCTCCTTGCCACAGCATTCAGAAGTCTACAAGCCCTGCTTAATGTCACTCTGGGCCAATGACCTGGCTCCAGATAGGATTCTAATTGCGAGTGAGTGCAACATGGTCCGAGATTATAAGATGGCAGGATCCTCCTCCATCTTCAGTTTTTCTATAATACAGACCTGCTGTCACTGTGGGGCTGGGAGACCAGGTATGTGTGTGTGCCGTGGCACACTGAAACGTGGCAGACGCCATCTAGGTTTAGGCCCCACGCACAAGTGTTTTTTATAGTGGTCCTTTAAGGCTCTGAATACGATTTTTCAGTTTTTTTCTATTTAACATAGTTGCAATAGTGTAAAAAATCTGTGATATTTGTAGCATAAGGCTGCAGCAAAAAGAAAAATGTGAAAAAAATAAAGGTGTCTGAATACATTGTATAATTGTTCATTAAATCTGTTTTCTTAACTACCACATTTTCCTTTACCTTCCAGATGAGCTCACCATAAATAACTTTTTGCAGTATTGAAACCACTGTACCGAAGCTGAAACTCACACCATTCTTCAAGCCACTGATCTTCCCCACATGCTCTGTGTAAATACCTCATCCCTACAATAGCCCTACAATATGAGTTGTTTCAGTATCATTGTTGTATGAATCCTGTGCAACATACATTAAAAGTGTTTGCTACTTTTTTTTTTTTTTTTTTAATATGTCTGTTTTTGGGTGCTTTATTGATGTGTGATATAAATGTGATGTAAAGCGCAACTGCTTCCACTGCCCATTGGCCGATGAAGAAGACTTGACGTGGATGTGGAGGGGGTCACATGACTGTTAGTGGAGTCCTATATTCTTCAAGAACCACAATGTAATTATAACTTGTCTTGGTGCAATAGTCTATATCAGTGGTTGCCAAACTTTTTAGGTTCAAGGCGCCCTTAATTTTTTAATATTTTTCCAAAGCTCCCCAAGTCAAAATTTCTAGGTTGTATATCTGTACAGTGCTGCAGCATTTACTGGCGCTAGAGTGTACAGTGTTGGCATTTGAAGGGGTGCTTGTATATAGTTATTGTGTTTTAATACAGGGGTGTGTTTGTATGTAATGTTTGAGTTTGATTGCAGGTGTGTATGAAGGTAATGTTCACTTTTAAATGTGGATGCACATTTGTGTGAAGTATTTGTGTTTGAGTGAAGATACACACACAGAGGCACATACACAGATGTGTTCGCACACACAGACACACACTGACATATATATACACACATAAATGCACACCCTGACACATACACACTCATTTACACTCACATATACACACACAAGTAATATTTTTATATCTCCAGCCACCATCCTGTTAGCTTACCTTGTGTGTCCAGGAGGGTGGCTTGGAGTCCTGCTGGCTGTTGGGAGTGAGATGTCTGGAGCAGCTCCTGCAATGCTCCTCTCCCCTCATGCTGCGGCTGCCTTCTCTCCCTCCCGCGCTGTCTCCCTGCATGATGCTGGGAGGAATGTCACTTCCTCCCAGCCAGCCGACATTGCAGGGGCCCGATCGCGATCTTAAAGGACTGCAGCACTCGACTGGACCCCTGTTCAGCAGTAATGTTTTCTGAATGCTATAATCATAGCACCGGGGAAACATTCCGCGGCACCCATGTGTGCCTGTTGCGGCTTCCTTGGTCTATATGCATTCCTTTCTACTAACAGTATCTGTCTAGTGTGAATTACCGTATATACTCGAGTATAAGCCGAGTTTTTCAGCACATTTTTTGTGCTGAAAAACCCCCACTCGGCTTATACTCAAGTCAAGGTCTGTATTATGGAAACTTACATAATTCATGCATACAACTTACTCATTACAAACCCGGCGGTCCTGTTGGGGACTAACAGTGAGCTGTTACTTGCCTTCCTGCAGCTCCTGTCAGCTCCCTTCTCCTCGGTGCAGCTCCTCTGTCAGCTCCGTTCTGCTTACAGTGTAACAGCTTACTGCCAGCCCCCCACTGAACAGCCAATGCTACTGGACCACCAGGGATTCAATATTATTATTTTAATATTATATTATTGTAATATTATTATTTTAATATTATATTATATTATAATAATATTATTTTATTATATTATTATTATTTTAATATTTGCATTATTTAATTTTTTTATTTTTTTTTGTCTCCCCTCCCTGCTTGTTGCCTGGCCAGGGAGGGAGGACAAAAAAACATTTAAAAAAAAATAATGCAAATATTAAAATAATAATAATATAATAAAATAATATTATTAAAATAATATAATCTTAAAATAATAATAATATAATAATAAAATAATATAATATTAAAATAAATTAAAATAAAAATGCCCTCCCCTCACCCAGTTTACACACACACTGCACAAACACACACACTGCATTCACACAAACACACACTGCATTCATTATATACACACACAACACACAAACACACACTGCATTCATTATATACACACACAACACACAAACACACACTGCATTCATTATATACACACACAAACACACACTCTGCATTCATTCTATACACACACTGTAAATAAATCAATTAATGTAATTTTATTGGGATCTAATTTTATTTAGAAATTTACCAGTAGCTGCTGCATTTCCCACCCTAGGCTTATACTCGAGTCAATAAGTTTTCCCATTTTTTTGTGGTAAAATTAGGGGCCTCGGCTTATATTCTGGTCGATTTATACTCGATTGTATATACGGTACTTTTAAAATTTAACCCTTAAACATCACGTAATAGCAGAAAAAGCAATATATTAAAATTTTAGTGAAAAATAAACAGATAAATACTCGAATTAGACAAAATTCATGTGTCCCTAATATAAAACTTATTTCCATGATGCTACTAATCTTTTTCCTTTTTTTTTAATTTAAATTCTTTATTTTTATTCGTGCATGAATAAACAGTCGGGTCTGTCACGCCACAATAGCAATGCAAGACCGTATGTCAACAAGTGGTAACATGGCATTATAAGTTCTGTGCACAATTTTGAATTATAATTAAAAGTTAAAGTGACATGAAAACAATGACAGACAAGGTATGTGACAGTCGAGTGTTATTTCAAGCTGGTGTGTCTAAGTTGTAGGCATTTTAACTGCTTAGGTAAATGGATGTTCTCTTATGAACACATCGAGATAGTTAGTAACATGCTTTCAACATTGCATGAGAAGTTAAGAAAAAAAAAAGTGGTGTGTAAGCTTAAGTGAATCGGTTTCATAACAAATATGGCCCACTAGCTTGGATAAGGATGTCTGAATCTGGGGTACCAGGTTACTATATTGCAGGCTAAGAGAATATGCTAGTAAAATTATTATTAAATGCAAGTTGTAAATGTCTCTGTGAGGTCGAGTTATGTGGCAAAGATAAGTAAGGCACCCCTACAGGAGACAAAACAGCTTGAAGCACCACAAAACGATGTGGCTCAATAGGGGCCTAGTGGGGGCGTCCATTTTTCCAAGTCTGCATTTTACTTGTGCATAGAGTGACAGGTTTTTGTAGCGCCTCAACAGTGGGTGCAATGTCAATACGTCCGTAGTGAATTATAGCCTGGCAGATTAGACAGCACATTTTTATATTTAGTGAAGGTAGCGGTCCAGCAGTGTGTACATGAATTCTAATATTACAAGTTTACGTCTGTAAGCTATAAACAGAGGCATGTAGGGAACCTGAGGTTTAGTGCCCAATATAGTTATAGACCAACCCTTGTAGGATGAGCTGTCCCGTCGTGAGGTACCTATGTTGTTTTCCAATTGACCCATGTAGCTGAGTCTAATGGGATTGGAGGATTTGGATTATGGCACCTTAGTAACGTTCCTTCTAGAGTTTTGGTGGTCTGCTTGCTAGAGTAGCTTATGGGGTTCTGGCCCCGGTGTGATGTGGGTGTCTTAGTTCCCTCAATTCTCAGGGCAGTTTGGGGGGGAGGGTGAGCGCGTCTCAGTGTCAGACGGTCTCATATGGGTAAGTGTGTGTAGTGGCTGAAAGAAGTGGGTGGGCCTCTGAGGTCTGTGTATAGTAGCGTCAGGAGCAAGTGGAAATAGCTATGTGGAAGCAGTCATTACATGTTGCAGACAAATAGAAATTAAAAGTGCAAAAAGATAAAAACAAGAAAACTTTAAACTGTATTGCCTATGGGGGCAATTCTCAATGCATAGACATAAACCTTATACAGTCTAGGTCTCATTTAGGTGAGAGTGTCCCGTTCCCCTCCGGGAATGAAAGGAGGTATGTTGTCAACGTCCCAGGTTCTTTGGGGTAGTGTCATCGGGTCTGGCGTAGGCAGGCCTAGGGCTTGGAAGAATTGCGGGCCCTCGGTGGGGTTGGTAATCTTGAAGGTTTTCCCCTCTTTGGTGCACAGCAGTGCTCTTGAATTGGTCCATCTATAGGGAATGCCAGCGGTTTGCAGGGGCTGCGTGATGGTGCGCATTGATTTCCGCCATAGGAGCGTGGCTTTGCTGAGATCCTGATAGAATGTGAGTGAGTGATTCTCGAATTGGAACGGGGTTTTCCCCCGCAGAGCCTGCAGTAATCTTTGTTTATCCGCAAAGGATCGGCAACAGAGGATAACATCCCTAGGCTGGGAGTTTGGTGTTCGCAAGGGTGGTGCGATACGGTATAGTCCGTCATAGACGAACTGTTTAGCATGCTTAGTTGGGAGGATGGCTGCGGTGAGTCGTCTGATGAGGTGAGGTAGTTCTTCTGCTGGTACGGTATCCTCCACTCCTCTTATCTTGATGTTGTTTTGTCTGCTTTTATCTTCCATAGCATCCATTCTGGCTGCTATTTGTGAGTGGGAGGTTTGTAGCTGCTTTATAGCTTCCCCTTGGGTGGCCATATTTTGTTTGATGTCTGCAGAGTCCTCCTCGGATACCCGAAGTCGTTCTGTTATTGCTTGCATCTCTGCTTTAATCAGGTTGAGTTCTGCAAAGAACATGTCCTGGAAATGTGCCAGGAGATCGTGTATGTCCCTTTTCGTCACAGGTGGTTCATTTTCAGGCATAGCCTGAGCTCCCTTCTCGGGTGCCTTGTCTGCCACTGGCTCAGTTGTAGTCTCCCTCCGAGGGGATGATGGCTCCCACGTGCGGGGCGTCGAGGCCAGCATCTGGCCGATGTCGTGGTTTGAGGCGGCCGCAGCCGGAGCTGGTTTTTGTGATTTGCGGCCCATCAGGGGATCTGGTGTGCCCCAGGGTATGCCGGCTGCTTGTGGGTCTGTGTCCCAGTAGTCTTCGTCCCAGGGGGCGATACACAGCTGCCGTGGGAATCCTGCCCAGTAGGCCCGAGGCCCCTTGCGCCGGATTTTCGTACCCGACGGGCACAAAAAAGGCATCCACCGGTCCGGTATGCGGACCCCAGTATAAGGGTCGCTATTTCGGCTCTGAGTGTGTGGCGGTGCGCCAGTTATAAGGGATTTTCCAGGCGATGAGCGAGGAGCTGGGTGAAATGGCGTCTGCTCCTGTACCCTAATCTTTTTCCTTAAAGTCACAAAACACAAAAAAAACACTGTCACAGATGTTTTCAACTACATGCAGTTTTTCTTCTTTAAAATGTTTCCATAGACAAAAATGTGTGTGTCCTATGGAAACGAATAGTAGTCGTTAAGCACTATTTAGCATCTGGTTTCCATTGTAGACAAAATGTTTACCACCTTGTCAGATAATACTTTATCTAGGTATAAAGAGAAAAGAGTAATTTGAAACTGAAACCAGTACTGTACATATTGCTAAAAACTGTATCCATAAGAATAATGTGTACATCACTTTTCATTATCTGTGAAGTTTGGTACATATGTACAGCAGATGCAAACTGTTAATGAAAAGGGCAGAGAGACTCTTTGCAAAATAACACATATTCCATTTATTAAATTACATTGCAAATTCTTCTCTCTTTCTTATTTTAAAAACCAGCAAACAAAATAAATTATACAAGTCTCAGCGTAACATGTTCAGCTAGTATACTTGGAGTAGAGGCCTAGGAAGTGAGCCGTTCTTGTTAGAAGAAACTCCCGATTAGCACACCATCACAATACTGCCCTCAGGCAGAGGCAGAATACCTACCAACAGTTCAAATGAACAGAGGGACATTTTCATTTCAAGGGAGTGATTGAGTGGGGGTGTGGCCAAGGGCATGGCTTTCCTGAGAAAGTTTAGGTGACTTACTTATAAAAATGTATGCAACTAAAATGTGATTTAGAACAAGAACAGTGTATCCTGTTTACACGATTGATTTCTAAACCCATTTATTGTAGTTTTAAGACCCACTACTGTGAGTTCTATTGCTGTGTAGTTCTAGCATACATTCAGAAACAACAATAATGAAGCTCCTAGAAAAGACTGACATTAGGCTAGATAAGCAGGATAAAAGGATTTGTACCCAAAATAGGGACTGTCCCTCATAAATAGGCACTTGGGTGGTGAATGACTCACATTTTTACCCATCGCAGTGTGATATTCCACATCATCTTGAATGGCAGAGGCTTAATGCTTCTATATATGGCATGTCTCCTGTTCCTAGCTGGAACAGGAGACTAACTGCAGCACTCTGGGGCCCTGGAGCCGCTTCTTCCTGGAGCTGAATGGGGAATTAGCTCTAGTCCTTACAAGGACTTTCCTTGTCGAATCTCCTGCAAGCCGGTACAGCAGACACAGGAGCAAATCTCACCGAACAGTGCCCTTCTAAGCTGAATAGAAACGAACGCAGGCGATGATGGAAGTTCAGCGGTGTTCGGGAGTTTCTGTATCCGATTTCAGTTCCATAAGATTCATGCCCAAACACTGCTGCCTGCATTCATGCGAACAAGATGGCCGCCACCTCGTGGTTGTTCATAGGAATCACGGCCACCTAGACGAACAATTAGAACACTGCAGTGAGAAACGTTTCAAGTTGTTAATAGATGATAACAAGCTCCAGGGTGGTCTCTGTTCATGCGGTTGTTCGGTAACCCACAAAGCCTGTTTGAAGTATATCAGCCAGTTCTATTGCAGGGGCCATAGTCACAGAGTAAAAGGCTGGCAAGTAGTCTCCTCCAAGAACTCATGGAAAATTCAGCTAAAAAGGGGAGTTTGCCACAATTCTTTTGGATCAACAGCAAAAAACTAATGTGAGAAAGGCTCAACGTGATTGGATGGCCGTGTAATTATATATGAGATTATGGGCTGGACTGGAAAACATTGGGTATAATATGACAAAGTTAATTTGTAACTTTGGATGATCTTTTTACAATTCTGCTAATTCCTGTTTAGCACTGATGCATTCTGACTCAATGATTTGCACAGAAAATGATACTGAGTGGTTTATGTTGCATAAGTGTCAACTGTAAGTGTCAACTTGTAACTGTAAGAAAATGTGCTATTTATAAGCTGGTAATGGCAGTAAAAAGTAGGAGTGCTGTTGATTTGTTTTTTTTTTGTTTGTTTTTTTGTTGAGGCTTGCCATGGTCCTGCTCTGTTCCTTTTTCTTGACCAGCAAAACCAGAACCCATTTACTGCCAAGTTTCATTCTTTAAAAAAAAAAAAAAAAGCATAACATTTATTTGAAACAGTGAAAGAAGATGTCCTACTAAGTCTGCTCTTCAGTTTGACGTTATAAGCACAACGGGGTGTGGAAACACCTCATAAAACGGAAGAGGAAATATTAAATATGTATATATCTATATATTATGTATATATATATCTCACACCTAAATATCACACAGGTGCTTGGGCACAGTGGAGGGACTCCATCGTTGTGGCTGGGGGTGACAGAGACTCGGCCTATCCCCTATTAGGAATTGGCTGATCGAGCCTCAATTCATGCATGCAATAATACACAATACAAATAAGTGTGTATGGCGCTTCAAATAGTTAAAGAATAAATGTGCAGTGATCTCAACCAATAATAAAGTGTTTCCCCATCACTTAACAAAATACAAATCAGAATAAAGTAGATATCCTAGTTTTGACCCACTACATATAAAGTTTAAATTAATTTTAAAAATGGTAAAAATAGCAGAAAATTGAGTAGTTTTGATATCACAAATATGATTTGGAAATGCTATAAATGGAAACTCAGAACCATAGTGTGACTGTCAGGATCGTATCCTGACAACTATGTTTTATCTTCATTTATTTCTGTTCCTTTAAAAGAAGTTCCCGCTCTCCACCACTAGTTGCCTCCCTAGCCACTAGTCACCTCAGTCCTCACCTGCCTAGGACTAATTACAGATCCTACAAAAGGCCACACCCGAGAATACCAGTGGCCTTTACATTGAAGTTGATGTGCATACTGAAAAGACTTCAGATCCTGAGAAGCAATCTATGATTTACCTGGTTTACTACCAACCTTGATTGCTTGCAACACTGCTTTATCCTGCCAACCTGGATTACTACCAACCCTGCTCCATACCAACCTGGATTGCCCGCAACACTGCTTTATCTTGCCAACCTGGTTTACTACCAACCCTGCTCCATAACGATCCTGCTAAACCCCTATCTGGACATTGCTGCTTGCTCTTATTTACAAGGTGTTATTTTTCTACCCTGAAACCTTATTCTTTATACCTGTCTTAGTATTCTTCCTATACTGTTATCTCTATCTTTCTTATTATTTGCAAACCTGTTTATTATCTCTATAGAGCATATTGCTTTAACGTTTATTTCTCTCACTTCCCTTCTCACCTGAAAATAAAGCCTCTTTTGTTAACTCTGGCCAAAGCCTCCTATCTGACCTGAACAAGATCATGACAGTGACCTGTAAAACTAATGTTGCTAATATGATGGAATGGAACTCTCATGTTGCAGAGCCATCTCATGCTCTATATAATATGACCAATGGGGTGCCAATACTGGCTAAACGATCCAATTCTCAGGATGAACCACAGGAACGGAACCAAGCAGTCCAGGAGAAATATTAATTTAAACATAATAGTAAATGGGTACTACAAGAATGGTGTTGGAGGCAAAAAAACTAAATCAAGCACCATCTATGAAGTAACCTTAAGAGTACTATATAAAAAATACAATATAAAAACAGGTATATAAGAAAGGGAACATCATACGTGTTTTGGCTATCTCCTAAAGCCTTCTTCCAGTGCACAGAAGTGGGTCACAACTAGTATATTTACTTTTACTTTATTCTGACATGCATGCAATAAGGCTGTCTCTCTCATGGCCCTCACTATGACTTACCTGCAAAATCTCCAATGTTCTTTTCTTTTATTTGAGTAATTACTATTGTTAACTCTTTAGACCCAATGGTTTCTATATGCCTTGAAATTTATCAATACTTCTATATTTCAGCATGTTTCTTTTTCTCTCGATTTTACCTATATAGAGCTAGGTTCCTGATTTTCTAAATATCTACAAAAAGTGCCATAACCCTTGACATTACACGACACTTATTACTGTTGTATATGCCTGTGACGGAACGCTGGCACTCCGACTGAGTACCTCCGCCAATCGATGCTCCTAGCGCTTGCCGAGGACTCCAAGCACTCCAACCGACACCATCAGCACTGCAGACCCCACTTCCAGCGATGCAACTGCGCTGGGGTCTCTGCTGTCTCCACCCACCCTGGACCCAAGGCCAGGATCCAGCTTCCAGTGGGTGAACCTCTCTTTCCCCAGAGAGCAGGAACAAGCTCTTAGCAGAACTTAGTGATCATACCCTGGGGAGTATAGTGATTATAGCAATCCCCAGAGTGTATTTCTCCAATCCCCCAAACATGAGCCAAGGCTTAATGCTGGAACAAGACTGATTTACTGGCACACAGAACTCACAATTTATGCAACACAAAACTCCTCCTCTGGGCCAGGCTAGATAATTGAGTTTCTGCAATACACAAAGCTCAATTATCTGCTGGCCAGAAATAATACAGTTTCATAAAACACACAGGGACCCCAAAACATGCAATAACCCCATAAAAAGTATATCCTTGGAACCGGGGGATCTGGTTGAACCACATATCCAAAATTCACCCAGATCCGTTCAGTACTTTGGAAAATACAGTTTAATGCAGATTCTGCAGAACATATACAGGCTAAATGAAAAACAATCACTTTATAATGTGTCCCCTGCTGTATAGTCCAAAACCACTGCACGATGTCTCTGTGCACCAAATACTGGCGAGATGGCACCGTGTTGAAAAGTCCAAACAGTGTCTGTGAGTTAAAATGGCCGCCATCCATTGTTCTCACCATGTGCTTCTGATACAGGAAATGGTGGCCACCCAGTAACTCCACAGTATGTCCCCAGATGGTTCTTAAAGGGCCAGCAGCAGCACAACACAAATCCATTATGCCCAAATCATGTCTTTAAAGGGCAATACAAACCAGGGGCCATAGTCACAAGGCAAGAGGCGGGCAAGCAGTCCTCTCCAGGCACAAGTGGCGAAGGGCACTTCGTCACACATCTTCCCTTTGGGGGGAAGACTAAACAGGTACCTGACCTTCTGCTGGTCAGTACCTAGATTAGTCGGGCAGCCCACCCACAAAGAAAAATACACAGAGTAACCCCCCCACAATAAATGGTACTGGCCTGTAGGTTCAAGTTTGTAGTGGGACAGCGCAGCACTCTCGGTCTCCCTGGTGCAGCTAGGCAAACTGCTGGTGTTGCTTGGGGGGCAGAGGCCAGCGGCGCTCTGCCCTGCTGCCAGCTCTTCCACTGGGGTAACCCGTGGTAAGTCAGGCTCTGATACAGGGGAAAAGGGGGGGCAGAGGCTAACAGAGCTCTGCCCAGAGGCCAGCTCTTCTGCTGGGAGGGGGTCAGTGGGTATCGCAGGCTCATCCACTGCCCCCAGGACCCGGTTGGGATGTAGCTGGGGAGGGGAAGTTTTGCTTACCTCCTCCTCCTGGCATCCCTGCGGGGTTGGTTGGGGATCTGGACTGCCCGTCCAGCCTCCCTGTAGGACTGGCACAGAGACCGCGGTCCCATCTGCGCCAGTGTGGTTAGGTTTGTCTTCCCCCTCTCCCGGTATCTCTGGCTGCTGTTGGAGGGGGAGGCTGGTTGCCCCCACTCCCCAGGACGCTGGTTGCTGTAAGGTGGAGGGATCGACCATCACCTCCTCCTGGAACTCAGGCCGCCGCTGGGGAGAGAGACCAGTTGTCTCCTCTCCCTGTATATTATGCTGCCGCTGGGGACCTGGGCTGGCTGCCCAGCATCCCTGTAGGGCCGGCAGAGAGACTTCGGTCCCATCTCCGCTTGCCATCTCTGTGTGTCCCCAGGACAAGTCTATGAGGTCGCCCACCTCCGGCTGCTGTTGGAGAGGGAGGCCGGTTGCCTCTCCTCCCCAGGACGCTGGTTGCTGTACGGGGGAGGGATCTACCATCACCTCCTCCTGGAACTCAGGCCGCCGCTGGGGAGAGAGACCGGTTGTCTCTTCCCTCTGTACGGTGCACTGCCGCTGGGATGGGAGGTCGCTGCTCTCCTCTCCCTGTAACTCACTCTGTCGCTGGAGACGGGGTGTCAATACCCCCAAACTCCACAGTTGGTACTCGAAGTTCCGTGCGTCTTGGTTCTCAGCACTCAACATGCGCATCACTTGATGGACCACCTCATCTGAAGGGTTTGGGCCAAACCAGACCAGCCGCGCCTTTACTTCCTTCATGAAATCAGCACCCTCATAGCACTGTGACAGGCGGATTTGCAATTCACTGGCTGCTGTCCAGGGTCTTGCTAGCTCCATGTTGCTGTAGGTAGGGACGCTGCGCAGAGGCTAGCGTTGCCCTCAATTATAAATCCGTAACTCCACACGTTACCGGTGTCTCCGAGC